TATTAACACTACTGCTTCTCCTCCTCCTCCTACTACTACTACAGCTACTCCTACTAGCGTGTTAACCTCCTCTTACTTTTAGTTTTTAAGATGTTTCGTGTACATGTCAGAAATACCAACATCTTAAGAGTGACAGAGGTGAGGGGACATTGTTGACAGTTAAATGGTTGTGTAGTGTGGAGGGCTGTGCTTAGAGCTGACCCGCTGCTCCCCTGGTCCACTCAGGAATGTCACAAAAAGACGCTAAACCACATCAGTACATGCTTTGGTTTTTCAGTAGGTTTGTCCTGCTAAAAGGTGGTTTTAATATCAACGCTGCACTGACCTCAAGTGGTTAAAAGCCAAAATTACATTTATCAAAAGCGACAATGAACATGCTCAGGTTCCGTGGACAATGCCGGTCAGTTGTTAAAATAGATTGAAGGTGCACTATGTAACTTTTCTGAAGAAGGGTTGATTCTTAACTTGCCATTGTTTTGCCTGGAATACTCCACAGTATAGCATTAAACTTATCAACCTCCATGGAGACACTCCAGAAAAAGTGACCCTGCTCACAGTAATAAGTATAAGACAACAATGCCAATGCTTTCAATATTTTTTCAGAGATTCTGTATACACGTTTGCTGTGATGTTTGGAAATAGGTCAACTGAAATGTGAGGTTTCCAGACAGAATCTCTCAGAAGGTGCATTCAATAGTTTTGATCGTACTTGCAAGAAACAAAACACTGTACAAGAGCCTGATCCCGTCAGATCTCAGATGCTAAGCAAGGCCGGGCCTGCTTAGTACTAGGATGGGAGACCAGGTGCCACAGGGGGGCGCCAGTGGCAAAACTGTCATAGTGTCCTTAGGCAAGGCACTTTGCCCACATTGCCTAGTGTGTGATTGTGTGAGTGTGTGTGAGTGTGTGTGGGGGTGTGTGCGCATGAGTGCGTGTGTGTGTGTGTGAGTGATGGTGGTGACCGGAGAGGCCAATGGTGCAGATTGGCAGCCTCGCTTCTGTCAGTCTGCCCCAGGGCAGCTGTGCCTACAATAGTAACTTACCACTGCTGGGTATGGAGTGAACGAATAATGCTCTGTAAAGAGTCTTTGAGTGTCCAAAAAAGTGCTATATAAAATTGATGCATTATTATTTAGGTGATGAACTGAACAGAACACTGTTGTTTAAAAAGCACATATCTAAAATTATTTAAACTGTGAAATGTAATTTGTCTAAGTTTTGATTAATTCGTCACCAAATGAGTACAGCTGTTGTCAGGCTTTTTGTGCATTCATGATATTTTCACATTTTACTTACTGCAGTACAACATGGTTACTGGCAAACAAACTCTGCAATGCAACCTCTTCAAAGCTTGTGGAAACAAGCACTCAGGCTATTAGATAAGAAACCTACTGTATGTCACAGCATGATTGCAATATTGTTAAGAAATATACAGTGTTAACATTTCAGAATCACATCCTGTTGGCCAATTTAGTCTTGTGTATAAACATTTTCACAATCAGGTAACCCCAGCCCTTTAGGTCCACCACATTTAGACAGATGCTTGTATGTCAAAGTAGCAGGGGCCTGGGACTCCCACCTGTGTCTGTGAGAGAGTGAAGCATTCTGGGACATTTGAGTTTCAATGTTAAGAAGTGACTTAAAGAGAGTTGGAGCTGGAGCCATTAGTGATCATAATGTATGTAAATATTATTTGGGGTGTTGATGAGCTGCTCCCTCTGCTTTTGATGGGTGGTTGGTGATTGTTTTTTAGCTGTATGTTTATGTATGTTTATGTTTAATGTTGCATGGGCCATTTTGTGAAGAATCTGCACACTGTTATCTGCTGTGACTTTGCCTCTCCCCAGGAACTACAGATGAACATTAGCTCAGAAATAAATCCGGTTTGTGTAATGCATTTATTGTGCAATGTTCCTGTCAAATAAATAAATAAATACATACATAAAAAAATAAAAAAAATAAATGAATGAATTTTAAAGATAAACACACATGTAAATGAATGAATGCATAATCGATAAGTTTAATTGTATTCTGTGACATTCCAGAATCCTGAAATGGCTCTGCCCAACAGAAAAGTTACATAGTGCACCTTTAACTTGACAAAGGAGGAAGCACATTCTTTTACAGGACTAATAAAACAATTTTAGCTGAGATGAAACCAGAAATTGAGCATTAATTCCTCATTCATAATCCACATACTTCTGTTGTTTCACACTTTGCATGCGTCTGGTCACATGCTGTGAAATTGTGTGCTCAGAGAAGGTTAAAGGTGAACTTTTCAGGCTCTGTTCCACCACTATGAAAATCCCATGGCTTTGTTTGGCTCTGTGATACAATACACAATATGGTATTAAACTTATACAAGATGCATTTATTCAATTGTTGGTGTTTTTAATGTGCGAAAATACATCTCCGTGGAGATAAGTAACTGGCAAGTCCTCTACCTGAAAAGTTACGTAGTCCACCATTAAAGAACTAATGCTTAGGCTAAAAATAAATAATGTATAACAAGAGCTACTACAAGGAGACCTCTTTCATACTAAAAACTAGTGTACTTTTTTTTTTTTTTTTTTTTTTGCCTTTTCTCTGAACCTCTTTTGTCATTGTTTTGTTAAATTCCCCAAACTGCTGTAAGTCATGTAGGCGCATGTGTGTGTGTGTTGGGTGGCATCATGTATATAAAATTGAAAGTAATCTGCTGATGTGAAAGAGTGAACAGGAAGTCTCAGTTTGGCACACCCAGAGTTGAGTTTCAGTTAAACAGGTGGAAGGTGTGAAAAAGACCAGCCACATAAACTTCATCAAAAGGTGCGAAAAAAATAAAAAATCTATAGAAAGTCCATTTCAAGATTTTGGTAAATTAGAGAGAATTTATACCACACAATAGCTTTGACTTTATCTTGAGTACCATTAAAAACACAGTGGAGCATTTTCTGTATTACATGACCTCACAAGGCAGTACAAAGTGTTTTCTATTTGAGAGAAGGACACAACTCCAGGTACAGTTTGCTTGTGATGAGAAAACAACATTATAACAGATCAGAAAATAGTGTAATATTATTAAATCTAAAACTGACAAAAACAATGTAAATATTTGAAAATGCATCTTTCTCAACCTCTGATATGATATAGTTGTTTGTTGTTGTTTAAGAATAACATTATTATTATTGAGTACATTCTGCACTATTGTGGCTTTTTGAGTACAATTACTACACATGTATTATGTTAAAGGTTGTATAGAGGATTTTTTAAAGGGAAAAGAAATACAGCGACAGTCCTTTTTCAAATGTTGTGCTTGCGTGACACCAGCTGCCTCCTCCACAGCTTCCTCAGTAGAAACATCTCCTCTACTCTAGAAATCACGCTTGTTTACAGCCAGTGCGTGTTCAGAATTACTGCTGAAGTGACCTGTCTAGAAATAATTTAGCGACCGACACGTCAGTTTTTAGACCCTTCGTCTGCTTCAGTCGCGCAATCGCTGGAAGAGATCTCCAAGAATCACGTGTTTGGCTTTGCTCCTTTATTCCTTCTCTTCTTCTTTCAGCGACCTCAAAAACAGACTTTCTTTTGCGGTGAACTGGTCGTGGATTCTCATCCACCATCGCAACAAACTTGTGCGAGCTGCGAGGAAGCTACAGTTTGAAAAAACCTCTAAGAACCGCTGCATAAACCACATAATCCCTGCGTGCCTGCGAGTCAGTTACACTAAAAACGTAGGGAGTTTGATTGACAACCTAACAGCCAATAGAAAATGAGGTAGCCTTGTTATCTATTCGCTGAAGTTTATCTGGCCTCACTATGTCCACAGTTGATAGATTTTCATTCTTTTTTTTTTTTGTCAACATAATTACATAATAACAAGGCTGCTGCGTCTCTCTAATGGTATTTTAAACTTTCACTGACAATTTGAAACTAAAAAAAAAAAAACATCTTTCATATAACCTTTAAATTACAGTGGTATGTTAAAAATAATAAAAGACTACAATGTAAAATGTAAAATTTGGGTTACTACTTTTTACTTTTACTTTTTTATAATCTGTGTCTAGTGTGCAATCTAATTTGAGTCTAGTTGTATAGAGTGTTACAGTTACTGCACCCACTTCTAACTCACGTGATGAAGCAAATAACTGTGTGGTGACATGTGAGGAAGTTTCAAATTCAGACTCAGACAGGAAATAAAAGAACCATACACTTAAATACTTAAATCAAAAAACGATTATAGAAGCCAGAAATTCATTTAAAACACTCACTTAAAATGAATTGTTATATATAATAAATTAAATAAATCATATTCAATAAAAATACAAATAAACATGTTTTTCTCCCTCCAGAATAGAACAGGACAAAAAAATATCACCTTAACTTAATCTTAAAGTGTCACTGATTTGGAAACAAAGTGAGTCAGCCTCCTTAAAGGTGCATTGTGTAACTTTTCTGGGGGAGGGTACACCTCGTTTTTTTGTCTTTAGGGAGATGTTATTGTTTTGCTTGGCATGTTCCACAGTATGGCATTAAAAGTCTGTTCAGCTTTTGCTTCATTAGAGGTGATTTTAGTGCTCAGAAATGCATTCTTGTCCGCCTCTCCAAACAGTTCTGTACCTTGACCTGCTTGTTTCCATGAAGACAGAAGTTTACTACTACTACTACTAAAAATACTGATACTAATAATACCAACTATACTGTAAACAAGGGCCAAAGCTCATCCAATATTAACAGAAACATTTGAGAGCAACTTCAGTATTTGTTAACCTGCCATAAAATGTGTTCCTTATGTAAATATTCACACAAGTTAATTCTTCATATTTGTTTATTTTTGTTTACATTTTTATCAAACTGTTTTATCTATTTAATGTCTATTTATTTAGTGTTATCTGTTTATTTAAGTCACATCATGGAGGTCATATACAGATTTTTTTTTTTTTTTTTTTTTGTAACTGCAGAAGTTTTGTCAGATGAGGGTGACACGTGCAGTCGAGTGCAGACCAAAACCACTGTGACGCCTGTTTTTGCTTTCTTCCTCTCCACACACGTACAGTGGCATAATTGCATGAAGAAATCTTTGTGTAATGTCAGTTTAGATCATCGGAGTTTGTATCTGTCTGGGATTAAGCTTTTGTTTATGCATCTTCTTGCAGACAGGATGACACTTTTACAGGTAATGTGTGATTTTTATTTTTTTGTTTTTTTTTGGTTTTGCTGTTTCATTATGTTTTGTGGATACTTGCACACACTCATGCACTTGTGCTTTCACAACAGTTACACAATTATTTCGTATCTTGCACTTCACTAAATATGCATGTCAAACTTATAGCAGTAATATAATAGTTTAAAGCTCTAGTCATTAAAAAAGTGCATGAATCCATACAATTGTAAAACTGACAGTTAATCATTTCCATTGATTTTTATTTTTGTATGAACTTTAGAAGGGTTTTATGAAACTTTCTGTCGATGGTCTGCCACCTGCTTGTCTTCGCGGAGATATTATTTTTTCCGCAATGTTCCACATAATGGCATTAAACATTAGCAAGAGATGTTTTTATTGCTTTGAAAAACACGCTTTATTACTTTAGTGTAACAGCAACTTGTCCTGTTGGCATCAGCAGCTTGTCTCCATGGAGAAAGATAAGTTTAATGCTATACCGCAGAACAACCCGTGTAAAGTTATTACATCTCAGTGGAGACAAGCAGGTGGCAAACCCTCCACCCAGAAGATTACATTGTGAATTTATACAAATTAGTTTTGAACACACACCCACTGTAACTTGCTTCATCTATTCGTTTTTATAAGTGTATTCAATGTGAAACTACTTTTATGACTATGTGTGTATAAACCAGCCTCACTCTCCGCTGAGTTAAACTGAGACATGCACCTCTGAACTTCCTCTAATCAAACAACAACTGGCCAGTCTGTTTGATCTGGTTCATGCTGGGCCACTCTCTGCACTGAAGGGTCAGACATGTTCAAATCAGACAGTTATAGACTAGTCTCTGTTCCTCCATTCAGCCGGGCAGAGGAAGGGTGGAGTGTATTTTCACAAGCGGAAGATCACAGATAATACAGTTTCCATGGTAATGTCACAACCAAGGTTCAGGTCAAATCTGCAGTGCTGATCCTGCTTAGTGTAGAAATGCATGTTTTTAACGTATTTTTGAGCAAACCTGTAATGGAATAAATTATGTGTCTTTTTAATGCCACGTTAGAATGTTTGTTTCATTCACACATGTCTGAGAAACCCTTTATTATTATTCTATCTATATCCCCAGAGCTCAAAATGTTCAATCAATCAGTCAGACTTTATTTATAGAGTGCTTTTCATACAAAAATGCAATACAAAGCACTTATGTTCTGTTCCACCTTGTGATGTCAAGAAGCTGTAGTTTGCAATATAACAGCTATCTTTTACCTTTTGTTCAGAGGTTGGCAATTCTAGAAAATCTTCCAAACGATTCTGGGGAAGGTGTATGGAATTGAACACACAGTAGAGCATTTCCTGTACTGTATCCAAATCATCCAATTTGTCTTATGGATCAGTAAAGTTTGTTGAAGTCTAAATGACATACTGTATTTTCTCACCAAACTTTAATGTCTGTGCAGGTCTCTATGGGAACAACATGCAGCTTGTACAGAACATTTTGAGATTTTAATGATGAATACCTAGCGTAAAGATGGTCCAGAACATTTCCAGGTCATGGGGTGTCACCGGGGAGAACGCATCCAACCATTGCCCTCACAACAACCTGAGCAAGTGGGAGGAGCAGATAGATCAGATGTACACGTACTTCTACCTGCTGCTGTTTGTCCCCGGACTGGTCCTCAACACCACCGCCCTCTGGGTCCTCTGCAGATACATCAGGTAATTATATATGAAGTACACCAGTTCTGTTTGGGCACATCCTTGGTCCTACTGGATATAAATAAACACTTCCATCCGGTCTAAGAGTGGACATATCCAGCTCTTATGCATTTGAAACTGAAGTGTAAAAGTAGCAAAAATAAAAATAAAACAAACAAGAAAGTAAGTAAGAAAGTTTTTATTAGTGGATTTAGTAAGTAAGTAAGTAAGTAAGTAAGGAAGTAAGGAAGGAAGGAAGGAAGGAAGGCTTTATTTACCTTTCACACATAAAGAATCAAAAAGTGCTTTACAGAGAGCAATAAACAACATGTACAAAAACAGGAATACAGACACAGTCAACTAAAAGCTTGTATAAATAGCAGTGTCTTGAGCTGCTTTTTAAAAGAGTCAACCCTCACGGAGGGTTAGGCATAGGGCAATCCATAATTTGAGGGCCACATCCTGAAAGGACTGGTTGAGTGTGGATGCATTAAAACAGGTAAAAAGAGAATTACAAAAATCTAAAGAGATGAAATAAAAGCGTGAACATTCATCTCAAGATCAGCATTTGATAAAACTGGTCTCAGTTTAGTGATGTTCCGTAATGATTCAAAATTACCTTCAAAACCTTCAACATACTGTGAGTGTGCTCGCCATTCAGCAGATCTCACCTATAACTGGCTATATGGTGTCAGCTGCTTGTCTCTATGATGATAAATAATAAGTTCAAAGCCATACTAACTGTCCTCTCTGACCTCCAAGAGTCACTAGAGGTCATTTTCGTATGTTTAATCATATCCATATTTAACCTCATAAAAACTGAACAGAAACAAGTCAAACCTCCTCTTTTATTTTCAGTGTCACGATTTGGAAATCATAAATACAAACTTCATAAACTTCATCTTCATCTATGAGTTAATGAGGACCAAATATTGATACTTTGCAGCTAACTGTAGGCACTGCTCTGTTTGAAGCTCTGTTAGAGTTTTTTGTTAGAATGTTTTAAACACAATCTGACCATAAAAAAAAAAAAAAGCTGGAGCTACAACAGGTGAGCTGATTTGTGCTGCTAAACAAGTCTCTCTCAAAATAACTTTACAGTTAAAGTTCAGTTGGTCACTTCCACCATTTTGTTGAAAATCAAACTCCAAAACGTGACCATGAACACTCGTATTGATCATAGGCTCCTGAAAATGTGCTGTTTAAATTCATTTTCTATTTTTTTCTTGAGTTTTCAAATTATCTTCACATTTTTTTGGGTGGTGTAGCTTTTGCGTGCATTGTGTAACTATGGTTACTCTGCTTTCGATTATCTTCTGACTCCCACTTGGACCTCGGATTTGACGTCATGTCCGTTCCGTGTGTTGGAGTAACGTGTAGCCTCGCCACAACACAGACTACCAGACCCAGAGGCAGTGTAAGGTATTGCAGTAATACGAGTGACTGAAATAGTCATTTAAACCATCAAAGTCCAAACACAATAGAAACAGTTCATATTTACATGTCACAGTGGGCGACGCCAGCTTGGCTTCTGACTCGGAATCCTTGCAGGCGTGATGCGTGTGTCTCTAGGCAACTTCCTCGGAAAACCGACTCAGAAGGATAATCGCATGCAAGCAGTGTTGGGGAGTAACAGATTACATGTACCGGAGTTATGTAATCAGAGTACCAATTATGAGTAACTGTATTCAGTTACAGTTACTGTTTCAGTGAGTGGTAATTGGATTACAGTTACTTTGTTGAAATAAATGGATTACACGGGGGTATTTTCCTGTTTTCACATTTTGGGCTATATCCTCCTCTTTTTTTTTTTTTTTTTCAGTAATTCCATTCATTGCCAGAAACTAAACCAGGTCTAAACTAGATCTAAACTAGATCTAAACCAGGATTAAAACCAGGTCTAAACTAGATCTAAACCAGGTCTTAAACTAGGTCTAAAACAGGTATAAAACAGGTCTAAAACCAGGTCTAAAACAGGTCTAAACCAGGACTAAACCAGGTCTAAAATAGGTCTAAAACAGGTCTAAAACCGAATCTAAACCAGGACTAAACCGAATCTAAACCAGGACTAAACCAGATCTAAACCAGGTCTAAACCAGGTCTAAACCAGGACTAAAACAGGATTTAACAGGAGTAAATCATGCTGCACGGACTGTGTCTCCTCCGCTTCTATCAATAATATTTTTAATACGGTTAAGTAAAGTCTGGGCTTTTCATTTTCTTTTAGCAGAACAAAACATCTTTTGTGAAGATTTCCTCGTCTTTGCTTCTCTACAGAAAATCAAGTAATCCCAAGTATTCAGATTACGTTACTCACCTAAAGTATTTTAATGGATTATGTTACAAACTATATTTTGGGGTATGTAATCTGTAATCTGTAGGGGAATACATTTTAAAAGTCACCTTCCCAACACTGCATGCAAAGTTACTTCTGCTGTACAGATGTATGTAGAACACCCCCGGCGTGATGTCACTGCAAAGTATCAATAAGGATTTTGCACCAATAATAACATTTTATTCACAAAAATATTCCTGAGGCAGAACTATGGACAGCACAAGAGACAAAATGTGTTTCTTTGCTTCTGTTGGCCTGTTTTTGTCCATGGAGCTTTTGTTTTTTTCCTGACCATAATTATTTCCGCAGCTCACGGACTCACACGGAAATATCTTATTCAAGGAGAGGAAGGTTCAGGTCAACTGTGTCTGATCCCAAAGTCTGTATCAGTGATTAATGTGTATGTAGTCTACAGTGGTCCTACTGTTTAGCTTGAACTTTTAACTAACTAACTTTTATATTTGTTAATAAAGATGCATTGTGTAGTTATTTAGGTTGAGGGTCTGTAATCTGCTTGTTTCTGTGGTCTTTGCTCTGCCCTGAATGCTCCACAGTGTGACATTAAACAGCTCTACTTTACATTTATTCAACTACATGTGGTTTTACAGCTCAAAAATACCAAGAAAAACAAGCCTTCTGACTGTGAGCCTCTCCACAGATCTGACCTTTTAACTTGGTGTGATTTAGTTTCCATGAAAATAAAAAAGTTTGTGAAACATTTCAGACAAAGCAATAGCATTTGACAGACCCTCCACCAGAAAAGTTACACAATGCACCTTTAAACTGTAGAAGCTTTTTCACATTTTAGACGTGTTTTGAGGTTTTAGATGATGCACCATTCCCACTCATATAGTTTTGCCACGCACTAATAAAATCCCAAAGGTGGTGATGTGAAATGCATAATCTCACACGTTTAGGGTGATTCACACTTGCATAATCACCACATCAAAACTGACACAAAACCAGGACGAAATCTTAAACCAAACCTAAAATTTGCATCAGATATAATTGACAGTCCCTGGGGATGTGATGCGTTTAACTGTAAGCAGCTGAGGATTTGTGCTGTTGAACAAATCTCTCACACATAAAATGACACATCACAAGTTTTAGCCAACAGTTTTTCAGGCACTCTCATCGTTTTGTTGAAAATCTAACTCCTAAACAGGACCATGAACGTCACATTGACCAGACTGGGACCAGACCAGGAATGAGACCAGGGCTGAGACCAGGACTGAGACCAGGACTGAGACCAGGGCTGAGACCAGGGCTGAGACCAGGGCTGAGACCGGTTTAGTTCTGGTTTAGTCCGGTTTTAGACCTGATTTAGTCCTGGTTCAGTTCTGGTTTAGGTCTGGTTTAGTCCGGTTTTAGACCTGATTTAGTCCTGGTTCAGTTCTGGTTTAGTCCTGGTTTAGACCTGATTTAGTCCTGGTTCAGTTCTGGTTTAGACCTGGTTTAGTTGTGGTTTAGTCGTGGTTTAGTCCTGTTTTATACCTGATTTAGTTCTGGTTTAGACCTGATTTAATTCTGGTTTAGTCCTGATTTAGACCTGGTTTAGTGCTGGTTTAGTCCTGGTTTAGTCCTGGTTCAGTTCTGGTTTAAACCTGGTTTAGACCTGGTTCAGTTCTGGTTTTGACCTGATTTAGTCCTGGTTCAGTAATGGTTTAGACCTGATTTAGTCCTGGTTTAGTCCTGGTTTAGACCTGATTTAGTTCTGGTTTAGATTTGGTTTAGACCTGATTTAGTTCTGGTTTAGTCCTGATTTATACCTGGTTTGGTCCTGGTTTAGTCCTGGTTTAGTCCTGTTTTAGTCCTGATTTAGACCTGATTTAGTCCTGGTTCAGTCCCGGTTTAGACCTGATTTAGTTCTGGTTTAGATTTGGTTTAGACCTGGTTTGGTCCTGGTTTAGTCCTGGTTTAGTCCTGGTTTAGTCCTGTTTTAGTCCTGGTTCAGTTCTGGTTTAGACCTGGTTTAGTCCTGTTTAAGTCCTGGTTCAATTCTGGTTTAGACCTGGTTTAGTCCTGGTTCAGTCCTAGGATCAGTCCATATGTGAGGCTAAAGTCCGGCATCTTAGTTTTAGTCACGGAAACAGGAAACAGTTTTTTTTCCATTATTCATTTAAACACAAATTTAAACATTAAACACATTTAAATGAAAAGTGAGTTGGAGTTTTATTTTGAAAAAGGAATGAACGAATGATACACGGATTCCCCTTCGACATGATCCTGGTGTTTTTATTAGCTATTTTATCCGTGAATAAATTCCTGTTCCTAATAATGAACGCTGCTCAAAATTAGAGTGACCAGATTTTCAAATAAAAAACTGGAACAGCCTCGGTTATAGTCACATTTTCTTTGTGTTTTGATCATTTTTAAGCATTTTTTTATGTATTTGACCTAAACAAATGACAATGTATGCCTCTTTTTACTGTTGGCAGGGATCAAATTGGTCAAAAATAGGGACACCAGGGACATTTTTTGTATAAAACTGGGACAAATCACTGGTTTTGGATAAATCCTCTGGGACTGGGGACACAGATCTCAAAACTGGGACTGTCCAGGGTAAATAGAGACATTTGGGCATTCAGTTTATGGTTTGAGAGCAAGACCACACCTCATGAGGGCTACTTCCTGCCCCTACCACATTTGAATATTACTTGTATGATAATTATTTGTGTTTTCATTTGCTTGTATTATGCTTTCAATGTTTTTCTTATTCTGTAAAGCACTTTGAATTTGTGTATGAATTGCCTTGACTGTTGCTTAAGTAATATATAAGTCATATTTACATTACTTGTGGTCTATATCTTGCAGTAAGAAGACCAAAGCGGTGATCTTCATGATAAACCTGGCATTTGCTGATCTGGCACACATCCTGTCTCTGCCTTTGAGAATCTACTACTACTTCAACCACCACTGGCCTTTTGGGCGCAGAGTCTGCCTGCTCTGCTTTTACCTCAAGTACCTCAACATGTACGCAGCCATCATGTTTCTGGTAAGAGCGGAAATATTCACCAGCTCTCAAACATTCGAAGTGTAATACAAAAGCAAGCACAGTCATAAAATACATAAAATATATATGAACAAAAAAAAAAAGGCAAAAAGTTGTGTGGGTGTTACGGTGGTTTGCACTCTTCAACTGCATGACTAGAAGAAGGTACACAGCTCAATTCACTGAAGAAAAAAAAAACTGTAGATTTTCATTTGCATGCTGAAAAAATGCTACGTGTCCACAGTCACAGAACACAGCAGTGGGCAGAGATAATGCAAGATTACTCAAACAGGATCAGTCACACATGCATGCATGAATAGAAATACCACTTTGAGAAAGCTACAAATGCCAAAAGTAATATCTGGGCAAGTTAAAATGACTTAAATTAAGATAATTTGACTTTATTTGAGTAGATTCAACTTGACAAGTCAGATTGTCTACCAATAGAATCAGTTTCTTTTTCTTAATTCAAGCAACATTCAATTTATTTTCTTATTTTCTGTGCAAATAGTTGTTGCTTTTCTTATTTTAAGTATAGTGTAGTACTTTCATTAAGTACAAAAAATCTTGTTCCATTGGTAGATCTGGTCAAGTGAAATTTACTCAAATCATGATAAAAACATCTTAAACTAGATTTGAATAGATTTTAGTTTCATTTTTTTCAGTGGTAAAAAAAACATCACTGGACTTGGTTAAAACTAATAAAAGTTGATTTTACAAAAGTCTCCCTTAATGGCTTAATGAACAGTTCATACTTTGTAGCTCATGTCATCAACATTCCGTCGGGGTGTGAAACTGGCTGAAAGCACTACTCAACAGAAGCTCTTTACTCAAAATAGACTTTTTAATTTTAATGCAATAATTTTTTAAATTATGATTATGGTTTTTGCACTTAAACAATCTTTCCTCCATCAAATTAAAGCCACAACTAAGGCAGCATTAGTATAGATCAGAGCTGGGACCAAGTCGTTGTTTTGCAAGTCTCAAGTCTTTGATCTAAAGTCCAAGTCAAGTTCCAAGTCAAATACAGGCAAGTCCAAGTCGAGTCTCGAGTCACTGGTCCGTAAGTCCAAGCCAAGTCCAAGTCGTCTGCTTTGAGCTTCAAGTCTTTTCAAGTCTTTAAAACAAAGTAATAAATTAGATTTTTGCAATTTATATGAATTATAAACTAAATTGTTCTTAAAAATCATAGTATATTTATATATGAGTATTTATAGAGTACATAAGAGTTGTAGAAATGTTAATTATTATTATTATTTTTGGTGTGAATCATTACGGTCAGAATAGAAAGACTTCAGGTTTAAAAGTTCTTCTGAAGTCTTCTCAAGTCACAGGCCTCAAGGCCAAGTCAAGTCCCAAGTCACTGACCTTCAATTCCAAGTCGAGTCCCAAGTCTTAGTCCATTTTATCAAGTCAAGTCTCAAGTCCTAAAAATAGTGACTCAAGTTTGACTCGAGTCCAAGTCACGACTTGCAAGTCCCCACCTCTGGTATAGATCACAGGCTCCTGCAAATTGTCTGACTAACTGAATACATGTACTGAGAATATGTATTCTGAATACTTGTTTTGAGTAACTGTATTATGGTACAGTGACTTTTTCATTTGGTGGTATTCAGACTAAAGTTACTTTTCTAAAATGAAAGGAATACATGGCAGTTTGCTTTGATCATGTAATTTAGGCATCAAACTGTCAACCGTCTTTTAGTGAGAAAAATAAACAACACTGCTCCTGTGGTGTGGCATGTGTGATTTTAACTTCTGCACTCAGTGATGGGAAATAAAAACAGGAAACAAACATAAAGCTGTTATTAATACTATGTTATGTTTTCACACGATAATTGAAATGCAACTTGACATAAACATATCCAGAATACAGTACTCTGATTGGACCACATATATGAATACATTACAAAATATATGTTAATGCATCACAATTCAGTATTCTGTAACTAAATATATTTTCATAATATTTTTCATATCACTGCACTGCAAAAACTAAAATCTAACCAAGTTAAAATTACTTGAATTAAGAAAGTTTTATCATGATTTGAGTAAATTTCACTTATACCAGTCAGATCATCTATAAATGGAACAAGACTTTCTATACTTAAAATATGAAAGTACATCTGGCTACACTTAAAAACAACAACTCTTCGCACTCAAAATAAGAAAATAGATTAAATATTGCACACACTTACTCCATTGGTAGATCATTTTACTTGTCAAGTTGAATCTACACAAATAAAGTCAAATTATTTTAATTTAAGTCATTTTAATGTACTCAGATATTACTTTGTGCAGTGTGAACACCCCCAGCATGATGTTACTGCAAAATATCAATACCTTCTTCAATATACAATATGTTTGTTCTACTTAGATTTAGACTTCGACAAGCTTTATTGATGCACAATGGAAATTATTTGGACACAGTAGCTCACACACCACAATACCTTATAATAACAAAGAGCAAAAAATAAAAATGGTAATAATAAATTCTAAATTAGTAGCAAACACGATAGTCATAGACAGATGTCAAATAAGGCATAATTATTTAAATGCATATGTAATAAAAATATCTCAGCAGGAAACAGTGCAAAGACGATGAAGCCCACATACAGTATTACACCCCAGTCATTTCAGTACTTATAATTGTTTCACTCTCTCCTACAGGTTTGCATCAGTGTCCAGAGATGTGTATTTTTGCTTAAACCTTTCTCGGCGCGGCGGTGGAGAAGGCGTTTTGATGTTCTGATCAGTTTCATCGTGTGGGTGGTGGCAGGCCTGGGCTGTTCTCCTTTCATTTTGATGCGCTCGTCTTCGAACCAACAACCCAAGATTTCCACTTTAAACCAGTTTCAGGGCTTGAACCAGTCTGTGCCAAACATTGAAAACCAAACGACAGGATGCTTCAAAGATTTACCCATGAGGCACGTCCCACTGTCTACGGCTATAATAATAATAACTCTGGGTGAACTTTTTGGATTTCTTTTACCTTTTATCTGCATATCCTACAGCTCGCTTCGGATTGCGCACTCCCTCACGCAAAAACAAAAAATTCAAGAACAAAATAACACAACGAGAAACAGATTGTACTCTTTCACTTCAAATGCTGACGTTGACTTCCAGGAAAAACAAACTAAAGATGAGAAACGGCGAGCTTTGAGAATGGTGCTCAGCTGTACCGGTCTTTTCCTATTTTGTTTTGGCCCGTATCACGTCAACTTCTTGCTGTACTTATTGATGTCACAGAATATTTTGACAAATTGCAGAGTCATATTAGCTGTAAGGCAGTTTCACCCCATTTCTTTGTGCATAGCGAATTTAAGTTGCTGTTTGAATCCAATCTTGTATTACTTCCTAACAGCTGAATTTCGGATGCACTTCACGCAGCGGACCGCCTCCTTTTCGGAAACGTTCCTCTCCTCGCCTCTTAGCTCTCCAAAATATAGTTCAAGCAGGTATAAGCCAAAACGTATGGATAGTACTTTGTCCAATTTTTGATACCTCAGGGACTTCATTTCTATTCTAAAAAACAAATGTTGTGAAATGGCACATATTAAAAGTCCTATATCAAGAAAAATGGACTTTTGTGAGCTTTACGCCATGTTAAAATGTTGTTGTCTTCATAAAAAAAACATACCTGGAGTTGTGTTTTGTTTCATTCACGCATGTTTAACACACATATCCTAAATCCTGCATATTTAAGCTGATGTGATGTCATGGTAATACAGGAAGTGCTCCACTGTGTCCTTCACTAGAATCATAATAATAATAAAGGGTTACTCAAACATGTCATGTATGAATGAAACAAAACACAACTCCAGGTATCCTTTTTTTTTTTTTTTTTTTAAATCCCTCAGTCGTCCAGGTAGAATCCATGGCGAGGAGAAAATTCAGTTTGTTGACTGGACAAAAGTTAGTTTGCTTGAAGATGTTTAAAAGCCACAGGCCACTCATTTGAGGACAGCGACGTACATATTTTAGCCAGAGAAAAGAATTGGTTTGAGAGGGGAGTGAAAGAGGCCATTTTTGTTAAGAAAGAGAATCCTTCTCTAAACAGAAATGGAGGACTTAGACACCATCTATCTCCTATTTACAACTCCATCCTCAACCCTAAATCAAAACTAACAAAAGAACAACAGGTGTAGTCAGGTCAGGTCCAGAGGTGAGGGAGCACCGTTATGACCATGAATGCTAATTAGACCCCACACCCTGCACAGGTCAATAGGCCGAACTAACAAACAGAAACTGTAAACAAGTAAGTGTGTTAGTTTCAGTTAGTTAGCTCCTCCCTGCAGATATAAGGAAGTGTCCACCAGCGTCTGACCAGAACTGAAGAAGCAGCTTGGATAAGCTCCGAAATGTCTTCAAACAAATTAACTTTTGTCCAGTCAACAAACTGAATTTTCTCTTCGCCACAACTCCAGGTATGTTTTTGATGAGGTAATAGCATTACGGTAACACAACTAAAAGCCCCAAAAAGAATATTTCTGAGTAATATAGGACCTTTAGGATAATATAGTTTATGGGTCAAAGTTCAGTATAACTATGGAAAGCTAGAAGACGTGTAAACTGAAGTCTGCAATGTCGTAACACTTCCCACATTTGAGCCTGAACTGCAAAGAGATCAGTGACCTCAGTGTCCAAGCCCCCATAACCCAAGAGCTTCCTGTTGAAAATAAAACACCTCATCCATCAAAAACTCCCAATTAAAGACCCTTTCTTACTGAGCCCCACATTGTTTTAGCATTACCAACTCATCACAAACACATCTATTCTGGGAAGACAATATTTGAGTTGATATTATCTTGAAATAACACACATGGGATTGGGAGTGGAAAATGAAAAAAAGACTTGATCATGTTCTGGGAATTTGCGCTTTTGTTCAGACAGAGATCATCATTTATCTTATAACTTTTTCAGATTTTTACCCCTCGGAGACAAATACATTTATCTGAATTCAGCAAGACCAAAATGTTTCATGCCTGTACCTAATTTCAATACCATATTTTCCGCATTATTCGGTGCGCTGGATTATAAGGCGCACTGTTATAGAATGGTCTATTTTCAAACTTTTTTTCACAAATAAACAGCCCCGGACTTTAAACGAAACACAACAGTTCGATGGGTCAGTGGGTCTTTGTTTGGCGCGTTCACGGTGACTCTGGGCTTTGTTCAGTTGTGGCGTGTAGGGAGGGTGCTGTCTGGGACCGCTGGATTGTCGGCGTGTTCGCAGTGACTCAGTTGTTCAGTTGTGTCTAGAAGTGGCACATTGCACTCCCTTTTTCGGTTTATTCCTCCGTTCCGTTCCTCGTCTGAGTGGAGTGATGAGTGTGTCTGTGGGTGTTTTTCGCTGTGCGGTCGCTGTCTGCTCCATGCGTGTTTGCGTGCACTGCGGGTGGTGCGGCTTTGTAGTTTACTGAAGTCGTGCTGGGACACCCGAGTGGATTCATGTATAGGGCGCTCTGATTGTGGGGTGCGGTCGTTTTTTGATGGGGTTGGAAGCTTAAGAGTGCGCCCTATAGTGCGAAAAATACGCTACTAAAGAAATGGTCTCTCTAAATTCATATATTGTGTCATAGTTTCTGTGTAATTTAGCAAATAATTTAGTTTTAAAATGGCTCTACTTAAAATATACAGGCCTATGTTCATATTATAAAATTTATTGGGAAAAAAGTGACACATTTTATCTATTTAAGCTCATCCTTCTGTTATGTGGTGAAGGAATCTCTGCCCGTCAGTATGCAAAGAGGTACTGAAAGTTTAGATGTGCATGAGATAAAATATAAAATGTCCAAAATCCCAAACTATGCCATAAGTTCATTTTACCCGGCATTAAGAAAAAGTGACTAAATACTAATCTTGTAATAAAATAAACTTACCTTTTTAAGCTATCTTTGTACCAGTGCCACTTCTTCTTTTTGTACTTCAAAGTATTTAGTATTGCATTGTAAATATATGTAAATATATGCAAATAAAGTTATGTTGTGGTTGTTACTGTTTTTGGCTGCAAACAGGTGACTTCTCTTGAGCCTACACTTCCTCCCACAACACACCACTTTTAACTGCCATGGCCTCAATTCAACTGTATACACACAACAGTAAGATCAACTGAAGCAGAGGAAGGAAACCCCCTTTTGTGCTGAATCTGCATGCATGAAGATGGTACAAAAACTAGCAACAACCTGTGCAGAATAGGCCTTGTGATTTGGAGGATATGAATCAGAATTCTGTGGTGGTTTATGATGAATATTTCTGGGCTTATCCCCCTGAAACCAAAACCAGTGAAAAGTCTTCTCTGTCAGTATAAATAAACAACGGTGACATTTTTTTTTTTTTTAACCAATTGCTATTACTCAACCTTAAATATTGAAACAGTTGAAACTTTAAGCCTTATGAAATATGGAAAAAAATTGTGGAGCTGATCCCAAACAAATAATGATAAGTTTCAACATTTGTAAATCGTAAGTTTTCATATTTATATTTATATTTATATTTATATTTATATTTATATTTATATTTATATTTATATTTATATTTATATTTATATTTATTTCAAAACAGTGAAGCCTGGAGTTTCTATCAAATGCCTGTGATTATAAAGATGTTTTTAGCAATGATTTAAAAGCATTAGTGTTTCTATATTGTGACTACTACTATTACTAAAAGTACTACAACTATTACTACAAGTACTACTACTACTACTACTACTACTACTACTACTACCATACTATGACTGCTTCAACTATGACTGCTACTACGTCTCTGCCTCTGACTACAACTACTACAACGACTACTACTACGAATACCAATAATACTAATGGACCTTAAGAAAAAAACTATTAATTAAACTACAGTTATTTTTGTAAATTCCACAGTGTATAGTCAAAACAGCAGACGCCTCAGGCTTTGACAAAACTGTTGATTTAACCAAAAGAAAGTCTGAAAATCAAACTATGAAATGATGGTCAATAGAAACATCTGTCCAGGACAGTCGCAGGCAGCTGCTTCCATGTTTCCCAACAACAACAATGTGTTTTTATTGTTTTTATTCAACAAAGAGCAACAAAGCTGTACACTACTGGTGGAATGTAACAAAGTAATAGTAATCTGTATTTTAGAGGAGATTTTATAGTGAATACTTTCTACTTTTACTTCACTACATTTGAGAACAAGTATCTAAACTTTCTACTCCACTCTCATTTTTGAGCAGGACTGAAAACTGAAAGTATTTTTTGATTCTTGCGTGAGACCTGCTGAAAAGCCTTTAACATGTTACATGTAGTTTAAGCAAACAAAAATATACAAGTAAAACGGCTAGAAAAAAAGTGCTGATTCAGTTGTTTCTGTTGGATAAAATTCAGCACAGATACTAGTATATTATAATATACTATATGTATTATATACTATATTTATTATAATATGAAAATCACTACATTTGAAGCTTTATTAGATCTCAAAATATGCACTTTTTTATTTTCACTCTTTAAGTACATTTTTAAACAGGTACTTTTATTGAAGTAGATTTTTCATATGATACTTTTACTTTTGCTACAGTATCTGTACTTTTACTTAAGTAATGAAATTGAGTATTTCTTCCAACACTGATTACATTTTTATCACACACACTTTCTTTGCATTGTGAATAAAGTTATTTTACTAAATAAAAGTCAGGCATAAGAACTGTAACAGTGTGGGCAAGTAGGTGGAGCTGTAGTCACCAAGAACAGCTCATAGTTTGCGAGTGTGTACGGAGCAGTGAGCCTGAATTCAAGAGTGCTTACTCACTGAGGACCCCAACTGTCTTAACAAAAACATACATTAAGCCAATACAAGTCAACACATTGTCAGCACTTCTGAGGAAAACGTGAAGGGAAGTTCTTTCCTGGAATACTGTAAGACTTTTACATTTTTTGTTCATGCAAAACTAACACAATAGTTCCAGAAAAATGATTCACCACTAATAGAGCAAGGAGATACACACCTTTCCTGTCTTCATTGTAATGGTCATGAGTGGCAGTTTTTTGGTCTTGAACAGAGTAGATTGGTAAGTTCTGCTTTAAAAACTGTTATAAGATTGTTCAAGTCCTTGTGGGAACAGAATACATTATCATTTGCAAATGATATTTTAGAGAGTTAAAGAACCCATATTACACTATATTCTGATCTATGTTATAATGTTGTTTGCTTGTAACAAACAGACCTGGAGTTGTGTTTTGTTTCATTCACACACACTGAAAAACAAGCTCACTGGATTTGCTTAAAACAATTATGGAAAGCAGCTGCAGGCGATATTCTATACCCTGTACATATATTTTTTTCAGAACATGAATATCACTTTTTCAAGTTGATGAAATGTGATTAAATCATGCTAATTACACATATTTATCTTATTTTATCTTATCATGAAAATTTGCCTTTTTTATGTTTTATTTTTTCTATATAATTTAATTCTGTCGACAATTAATTTAACATGCAATATTGAATGTCCTTAAAGAGTTTTAAAGTAAAATAATACAAAAAGAGTCTTTAGTTTCCCATAGCTCTGGATTTTTTAAAACAGAAAGAACAGGTACAGTGGCATACAGTTTGGAGCTGGACAGTGTGAGGATTTATTCCAGTGAAGATGCTCTGGTCTCTGCCTGTGGACACAGGAATAACACATGATTACATTATGAAATATACTTAAAGCACTTACTATTCTCTAATACAATAATGGACCAGGACAGAATCAGAGTGGACATTAGAATTGTACCTGCAGAAACAATACACACCATGTGCCAATTTTCTTCCTCAAAACACAGTGACAGGGAGGGCATGATGCTAATAATTTGTTTCATGAAAACAGTCCTTACATTAACCCTCATTTCAAATCAACCAAACATGTGTCACTGATGACATTCTAGGCCAGTGAAAGTGTATAAAGTCTTTGAAAACCTCAAACCTCAAGGTCAGTTCTCATAATCCTGCCACATATTGAATATTCCCTCCCAAAATTTTGGGGAGGGGGATCCTGAATTTTCCCTTCTGGGGATCAATAAATCTATCTATTCCCAAAGGAGGAGTGTCACCAGAAATGATAGCAAAGTCATGTTTCCTCAGCCTGATATGCAGTTCTAACATCGGCCACAGTCAAGCGACCTTTGTAAGACTTAAACATGCTGGACCGAAAATCGTAAAGAAGTCATGTTATTATATTGTCAAATTTTCTTTGCAATTTGAGCAACTCATCTTGGACCATTTTTCATGTTTAACACACAAACCCTGCATGTTTAAGGTGAGTTCTTTTGACAGAACAGAAAACACTGTTCCACCTTGTAATGTCATATAATGAAACAGAAAGTGCTCCACTGTGTTTTTAAACTCCATGCACCTCCACTAGAATCATTTGGATCATTTCAGCGCTGAAACTGCCAGTCTCTTCTGAACAAAAGTTTAACTTTTCTAATAAACCAGAATTACTCAAACAGGATCCCAGGCAACTGAAAATGTAATATTAAAACCCATTTTGTATTTCTTATTGAGTTTTCAGACTATCTTAAAACGTTTGCATTGTATCACCATCTTCTGAACATTGGATCATAAACACACAGGCAGAACAACCCTAGTCAGAGAAGGTGAACAAAACTGATTTTAAGTAATAAAAAAGACCCCATATTACTAAATGCAGCTTACTCATACCACAGTTTGAAAAGCACCACACAGGATGATGCATGTACAAAACAAATGCCCCAACGCTGGATTCCCGGGCTCTTCTGTAACTCAATAGCAGAAGTAATGTGTCAAAAATGCATGCAGACCACACCCCCCACACTCACAGAAAACCAGCCCATATGCGTCTGCTGTGTGTAAGCCATAGACCTGTTTTACACATCACGCAAGACAGTCAGCGATGGAGAGCCCCAAACAGGAAATTATGAAAGAATGAACACAGCATGTATCTCTGTTTATTGAGAAAGGACATGGGTGAGAGGACGGGCTGAAAGCAAGAATCTGTGGACATGTTTGAAGCTACAGTAGACCTAAAGCTACAAAATTGTCAAGAAAAAGGTAAGAAAATGTATGTTTTTAGTTTTTTTTTTGTTTTTTTTTTTAACAGTTTACATCTTATAGTAAGAGTTGAACAGCCTGTGTGTATGAAGTCATGCTCCGCTGGGATGTATGTATCTTCTACGTGAGGAATGCCTGCTATGTCAGACTAGAGGGGGCCACCAGGGATGTTGTCTTGGTTTAGAAGGTAATTGTGGAAAAAAGGAGTTACACGTGTACAAAGCTAAAGCTACTAAAGCTAGCAGGAACATTTTAGGGGCTCACTACAAAAAAGTTGAAGTGGAAAAACCCCATACTTCCCACGGAGAGATGATTCATACTAGAAATATATTATGTTTCCATTGGCAACACTAATATGCTGAAGTGTGAAGTGTGATGTCTGAACAATGACATTATCGGCTGTAGTAAAAGGATATTACCTTGTTTATAATCTTATAATAATACTGTGGATGGACTGATAGCCACAGTGGATGTTTGTATACTTAGTCATACAGTCTTAATAAAAGCGCTGAGGTCATTTGAAATATTTTTCAAATCAAAATTCAGTTAATCAGCTGTATTTACTACCACTATGAAAGTAATGATAATTTGAAGTGATATGATATTACTCAAGTAGAGGTGTAAAAGTGTATAAATGTGTATTTTAAGTATTTATAAGCACAGTATAGGCCAATAACATTTTATAATAATATATAATAACTTTGTTATTAATTGTTATATCTGTTTCATTTTCGTAAACAAGAGTTACAAAGAAGGAACACAATCAAACATGTAGTGCAGTGTAAAAAGCACAAATAGTTCAACACTACTAGGACAACTACTACTGCTACTATTACCACTACATCTACTACTATGACAACAATTACTACTAAAACTACTATACTACTACTATAACAACAACAACAACTACTAATGTTACCACTACCTGTTACTACAAAACTAATTCCATACTACTTGTACTACTGCTGATAAACTTCTTCCAATTACTACTGTCCTTATCTCTACTACTATTTAGAGGTACTACTTTCTGTGACAGCAGCGCTAGATTTTCATCACTCTGAAACTCATGAATATGTAAGAATGAACGTTTGCAACTTTTTTTTGGAAATACCACATGTACGTGGTAGTCTCTGTACTTACAGTAAATGAGAGTTAAAATGTCAGTACATTCAGCCTTCTTATTTATGCCTCTGTTTGACCGTGCTGCTTTTCTATAGAATACTGTGTTCATTGTAAAGCTGCTACAACACTTCTCATTGACGTCTGAGGTGACAGACGCTGCTGTTGTGGTGGTTTTGGTCATGTTCAGACACACGAGCAGAACTTTACCTTAACATTGTTAAAGTTTGGATTTGAACATGGTTTCCTTCATGCAAGTGAAAGAGCTTCAAAAACTTATCAAAGAGACTGTGCTTTAAGATGCACAATGCAACTTTTCTCTGCAACTTCTCTGTCTCCAGCCCAAGTTTCAGGTCAGATCTTTGAAAAGGCAACCCTCCTGTATAAATGCAAGACTTTAGTGCCACATCCCAGGTAAAGCTGTACACTAATACTACAAGTACAAAGTGCAAATACAAAGTTGTGTTTGCAGACACTTAAGTCAAAGTTATGCACAACTATAAACATCATGAATAGCGTCAGGGCTGAAGGTGTGAAAACCAAGTCTGCTGCGTGCTGTCTGCAATATGACAACATTGTTTGCATGATCAACAAATAATTTTGTTTGCCAAATCATTCAAATGTATTAGTGATACTTGGTTGCCAATGCCTGATCTCAGAAGCTAAACAGGATTGGACCTGGTAGTACTTGAATGGGAGACCACTGGGGCCACAGTAGGGCAGTGGAAGCTCTGTTGTTGTGTCCTTAGGCAAAACACTTTAGCCACCTCACACAGTATGAATGTGGAATGTGAGTGTGTGATTAGTGGTGCTTGTAGGAGCCAATAGTGCAAATTGGCAGCCTCACTTCTGTCAGTCTGTCCCAGGGCAAGTGTGGCTACAATACTACTTAGCACCAATGAGTATGGAGCTGTAAGAAAACAAAACATTATTATTAAAAAAAATATGTTTAATGTCACAAGGACGATTCCAGGAAAAGCAATACATCTGCATGAAGACAAGCCAGTGCCAGAGCCCCGGAAAAGGTACATAGCTCACCTTTAAGTCAAAGTTGTGATACTTTCAAGTAATACTCAAGTAACCTGCAGTTATTTTATGTGTCACAACAAAGAAATTCAATTTGTCAACTAGACAAAAGTTTATTTGGTCGAAAGGGAGGAGCAAACTACACTGAAACTAACACCCTATTTGTTTACAGTTTCTATTTGTTAGCTAGGCCTATTGAACGTGCACTGACTGTGGGATCATGTTAGAAGAATCATTCAGGCCCAATATGAATGTTTTCACACCTCTGGCCATGACCTGGCTCCCCCATTGTTCTCTTTGTTCGAGGTTTTAGGATGGAGTTGTAGATGGGAGACAGATGATGTTCAAGGAAGGATTGTCTTTCCGAACAAAAACAGCCTCTTTAACTCCTCTCTCAAACTGATAACATTTGTCCTCAGTCTATTACTTATTATTTATTGCAATGATACTTATTTTGATCATATTCTTACATATTTTCACTTTCACCTTTGCACTCTGGTCATAAATAAATGTGCTATACCTGATTTTTCTGTCAAAAAATTGTGGAAAAACAGAACTAATTCATTACAGTTTGCATTGTTCCACATTTATTCCTCCTTTACCTTAAGCCTTCTGAGCATCACAATTATTCATGTAGATGAGTTTATGGCAGTTTCAGAGACTTTCACAACTTTCAGAGACCAGAAGAGAGTTTTGCCATCACGAAAACGCTAAAAAACAACTAGCATGCTAACAACAACTAGAATGCTAACACGCACTTCCAAATTAGACACAGACAATATACTGCAGACTTATTTTGAGAGCTGCTTCAAATACATGAAAAACAAAATAAAACTAGTACAGGACCTTTTCGACAAGTGTAATTTGCTTTTATAGCGTATGAGAATGACTGACTTTGTTGTACGTGTTGCAGTGGGAATAAACACATTAAAACAAGCAACATGTAGGTCAGAGGTCAGAGGAAGCCCCATGGGAAGCTGCCTGTGTTTGGAGACTGGATAAAAAGCACAGATGAGGAGGTTGAATGAGAGCCAAAAGAGTGAAAATCCAACTGTGACAAAGACTGAAAGATTTGAATGCTGCCTTAAATTGTAAAATAGACTGTGTGACATCATTTAGTGCTTACTGAGAAGTCCAGTCATCTGAGGAAACTATTATTGTCTTTTTGTGTAATAGGGAAATATAATAATGTCAGAAATTGCTCAGTAGGAGTATGTACTTTTAAAAAATGATTATAAATAAGCACATTACATATCTTTTTCTCTTTAAATTGCATGAAATGTCTTGTCTATTTTGGCTTACTGATATATCTTGTGGGTTGCAGAGCCTGAAACAAGAATGAGTGTTTAGCCAGAGCACTTTAATCTTGAGTAAATTTAATTATTTATGCCTTTGTTTGACCATGCTGCTTTTCTATAGAATAGTGTGTTCATTGTAAAGCTGTTACAACACTTCTCACTGCGCGTCTTTGATGACAGATGCTGCTGTTGTGGGGATTTTGGTCATGTTCAGACACACAAGCAGAACTTTACCTCAAGCTTCACATTGGTAAAGTTTGGGTTTGATCTTGGTTTCCTTCATGCAAGAGAAAGAGCTTCAAAAACTTGTTGGAGAGACTGTGCTTAAAAATGCACAATGCAACTTTTCTCTGCAACCTCTGCACCACTCATCACAGATTTATGAACAATAAAAACACATATTGTATAAATGCAAGACTTTATGCCACTTCCCATGTAACGCATAATACTCCATTAAGACCAGACAGTGATGGACTCATGGAAAAGTTACATTACACTAATAATACAAGTCAAAGTTGTGTTTGCAGACACTTTGGTCAAACTTGTGCACAAGTGAAAACATCTTGTGTGTGAAAACCAAGTGTTTTACACGCTGTCTGCAGTATGACAAAATTGTAATGTAAGCCCTTGCTCAGTAGGAGTATGCACTTTTTTGCAGTCTGATGTGGTTTCAAGTACAGATGTTGGAGTTATAACATGATTATAAAAAGTATATTACATATCCTTTTCTGTTTAAATAGCGTGAAATGTCTTGGCTATTTTGGTTTATCTTCTCTTTTTGTTACTGACATACGTTGTGGTTTGCAGAGCATGAAATGAGAATGAGTGTTTAGCCGGAGCACTTTCATCTACTCTTTTGTAAAAGATGTGAAGAGTGAATGATTTACTGATGGTCGTATGTACCTTGTCACATCATTACAATCATTCTAATAGCATAATTACCATATTTTTTGGACAATACGTAAGTCACACTTTTTTTCATGGTTTGGGTGGTCCTGCGACTTATACTCCGGTGCAATTTATATATTAAATTTTTCAAACTGACAGCCACGAGAGGGCGCTCTAGGCTTGTGTGTCAGTTTTCTACGCCTGTCTCATGCAGAAAAAGCCGCTGTCCTGCTGCAAGTAGTGAAATATTCAGCTGAAAACAGTAATCGAGCAACAGAAAGAAAGTTTGGAGTGAGTGAGAAACATTTGAGGGACTGGCAAAAAGCGGGAATAGAACACAGCTTCACGGCAACCGGGAGGATGCATCGTGCCTAGACTTCAGTGACAACTGAAGTTGCACAGAGTTGCTCAAAAGTGATACCGAGGATGAAAAATTCAATGGATTTAGTGATTTGGAGTGAGATGGAGAGTTTGGTAAACTTATATTCTGTTGTTTATGCTATAGTTATCTGAACAACTATTAACATATGTTACGTAAACATACCAGACGCCTATTCAGCCTGTTGTTCTTTATTCTATTGTTATTACTATAATTTGCCTTTTAAGATAAAATGTCGGTTCCTGGTCCCTGATTTTATAAAATAAATTTCCCCCAAAAAGTATGACTTATAGTCCAGTG